GACCAATTTCACTGGAAAAACATTTAAACTCTCCCCTGGTACAGCTGACAAAGCGAGGAGAAACGGTGGCTTAGAGGTTAATACATCTACCTAATATATGCAAGTAGCCCGGGTTCGAATCCCAGAAGGGTATGGCTTGCCGATGACAGCTAAATAGCTTGAAATAGATCTATACTAGTCTCCCTTTATTTCTTTGTTGATAAAATGTAAATTCAACACAAAAATAGTTTGCTGTGAAAGCGACTGCCTGCGGAGGCTCCTGGATTGGGACTGAAAGGTGAAAGCGGAAGTAGTATCCTCAGTCTCTTAATTGGGTAGACCAGATTGCCCTGATAGACCGGTCTCACCGGAAAAACACCAAGGTCTACTCTAAAATAGAATCCCTCATTGCTATATAGATGGAACTTATAGAAAAAGGAATTGAGTCTTGGTCTCATTCACACAGAACTTTTCCCATCACTACCAGCAGTGTCTAGGCCCTATGTTCTCTAGAGCTCTCTCCAAGCATTCTGGTGATTGCATGAGTGGCTCATGGTATGAGTCATATAGTACATGTATAATGCTGCATCTTTTGTCCCAGAAATCAATGCATTCAAGTTAAGAAGTACAGGTAAACTCCTATTGCCTAGTTAAACAGCTTTCTTTAAGAGCAGGTATACTCCATTTTAGTACGGTCCCAAATGGCATAGAAAGGTGTAGTCATATCCAAATCACCAAGGCTATATCTTTCTTACTGACCCCAGATGAATGCATGGGAGTTCAGTATAGTGATTCTACAACCAATTCAAACCTGCTACACATTCTGCTGAATGCCTTAACAAGGCTTAGTGGAAGAATTTGCCAAGTTCCTAGAATTCTGATTTCATACAATTCCAAGGTTCTACCAAGGTATGTATAGGTGAGACAAAGAATTGGACATCGTGAGTGACAAGTCAGTATCTCTTTTTATAGGAGTTGCCTGTCTAGCTAACATATGGAAAGATACAGTTTAAGACAAAGGGAGACATCATTTTTCATCCATTTTCAATTTTTACAGATTTTGTTTTTTGTACACCTAGTACTCTATAATATCTGAGAGATGAAGATGAGGAAGGATAAAGACAGAGCCAAGCGTTTAGCCTTCTTCTCTTCAATTTTTCCAGGTTTGAGGAGTCTTTATATGAAAATAAATTTCTTTAAGCTTTCTGAGCCAGAATGGAGCTATTTTAAACTTTTGCTGGACCCAAAAAAATGAAACCATTGATGGTTGTCTGCTGCACAATTTAATTTTTGAAGATTATATTTATTGAAATAAGCATATAGGGCTCTAAGGTTCAATTTAGGCTGAAGTCATAGAAAAGTGCTTTTTGCTTTAGATAGCAGCTCGATGAAAAAGCTACTCTAATGGATATTTCTGATGTAATGGCTCTTTTCTCACAAGTCAAAGCTGAGCAGAGAAGAAGTCAGGAAAATGCCATAATAGGCACTTTGCAACAGCTTGTGTCAAATGTTGAGCTGTGATAAAGTTACTCTATGTTATTATTTCAACAGCAAATACTGGAAAAAATGCTTTTAAATGCTATTTGTGTTATTCACTTTCAGTATCATTGTCAATTGCTGTCCAACCATTTGTCCTCAGTTACATCAACTAGTAAGTGACTGTAATTCATCTTTTTGGTTACATAACCTGCAGTAGCATACTTGTTGATTGGACAATTATTGATCAGATAGAAACACCCATGTGACTGGAGTATGAATTTATCTGTGTGATCTTAAGATGGATATGCCCAAATTCTAAGCAGAATGTAATTGTCTTCTTTATTATTGTTCCAGTGTACTGAATTTTGCACAATTTCACAATGAATTTTGCATATGTTGGGTCAGTGGGATTCAAGTAATTTAACTACCGGTTCTCTGTCCTAATGATTTCTTCCAACAAGCAATCTGCCAAATTGCTCAGAAAGTTAACAACTGGTTCTCCCGAAGTGGTGCAAACTGGCTGAATCCCACCACTGCGTTGGGTGCTCATTAGGAAAATTGCATGCAAATCAGTCTATTTGGGATAGCTATGCATTGTTCTGTCTCCAGCCCATCAGAGTTGGATCACAAGATCTTTTGCATTTGGAAGCAATAACCCACAGTATGAATACTTAAAGCTTTATTCTAAGGCAGTATAAGAAAATAGCATAACAATTTAACATAATACAGCAATCAAAATTATTTAATACAATAAAACAAAGAAAGAAAGTCTTTATACCCCATAAAGGGAATCCATAAGTGATGGCCATGGGTAAACTGCTTTTCAGCCAGTGAACACCCTTCTGTTTAGGCCTGCATCAAAGACCATGGGAATTTTTACTAGCTTACATGGGGTGTAAAAAAGAGGGACACAGTGGCTCAGTGGCTAAAACACTGAGCTTGTCAATTCAAAGGTTGGCAGTTCAGTGGTTTGAATCCCTAGTGCCACGTAATGGGGTGAGCTCCCATTACTTGTCCCAGCTTCTGCCAACCTAGCAGTTCGAAAGCACGTAAAATATGCAAGTAGAAAAAATAGGTACCACCTATTTGGTGGGAAGGTAACAGCGTTCCTTGTGCCTTTGGCATTTAGTCAGGCATTTAGTCATGGCCACATGACCACAGAGACATCTTCGGACAGCACTGGCTCTTCAGCTTTGGAATGGAGATGAGTACCACCCTCAGAGTTGGGAACGACTAGCACATATGTACGAGGGGAACTTTTACCTTTACCTTTACCTTACATGGGGTATTTATGGATTATTTAATGAATTATTACTTTATTAAGAAGTTCCAGTTTCTTCTCAGCAAGTATCAATATTTGAACATTGTCAGCACCTACAGACTAATTCCCATGATCGAGATGAAGACAAAGAAGTTTTCTAATGAGGACCCCGACCAGATTATTCAATCAATCACTGCCAGCTACAAACTTATCATTCTGGGTGACTTCAATGCTAAGGTGGGGATGGAAAGTGACAATTGGGACAAAGTCCTTGGGAGGCATGGAATGGGAAAACTAAATAGCAAGATCCTGCTGTTTCTGAGCAAATGTGCCAGCCACAACCTGTGTATCACTAAGTTGATGTTCACACTGTCTATGCATCCCACGTCCAAACGCCTACTTGACATGTCATCTCAATCTTAAAGACATCACCACGCCGTGAAAGCTGCTGAATGTTGAACAGATCACAGGCTGATGCAGTCAGTCCTCAACCTACACATAACCCCTTTACATCATAAGCAACCAATTGATAGAAAACCACAAGTAGCATCCCAAAATAATACTCGTAGTTATTATAACAATGGATTTCCAATGCCCCAATTATGCTAGACTCTGAGCTTCCGGATTGGGACTACAGAGCCACCTGCAGTCCAGAGTCTAGGAATGAATTACACAATAATATGTCTTTTTCAAACCCAAAGGACTACGATATACAGTATATAGGTTCTAAACCCCAATTACTCATACCTCTTTCTATCGTCTCTTTCTATGGTCTCACCTCACTGGAATTTGCCAAGAACATGTATATTTTATCCTGTTTTTGAAATGCTTTGTCTCTATTAAGAGACAAATATTAAACTATTAAGCTTAGGTAGCATTTGTTTATGTCAAATGGTGGTGAGCCTTTTTCAGAATTAGGGAGTATTATTTTCCTGAGGTTTCCAGACTGGCAATGAGAAAGATCAAACTGGTCTACAAAGTTGTCCCACCAAAAGCTAGAAAAACAAAATATAACTGAAATATAACCTTTTAGTGAATAACATTAACTTCCTTAATTTGGCATTACACACTCAACTATTCATTGAGATATCAAATTCTATTTACTATGTACCTAAGGGATAGTAGTAAATAACCACTATCCTATTCCTATCTACTAATATTCCAGTCAAATCACCAGCACTACAATTTTTATATAACATATACACCTTATGTATATACTAGGACTTACCAAATTCTTGTTAGTTTGTGCAATTAAAAAAAATGCAAAAATGTTATTAGACTAACTTGTCCTTGCAAACTCAAATATTAGAGAAAGTAAAAGAGATTATTTTATTTCATTTTTATTTCCAGAAAAGAAAACAAAGCTGTACTAGCCAACGGGAAAAGTGAACTAAACCATTTATATTTAATATGCTTCAAATTTGGAGGGTGAATTGCCACAGCAGCCAAATTGATCACAATTATGAGAAAATCAGATCTGGAATAGAATTGTTGAAGCTGCAATAGGATGAGCCTTTCGAACATCTGAACTGCAGAGAATTCCCACCAGCTTTGGAAAGTTTCTATCTGATATTCATTTCTGAACATGTATTTTGCCAATTACTTTTTGATAGGCTTCTGCTATGTATTTCTGATCAATGCAAATTGGAATATGCCTTTGCATATTCAGATCCAATGGAAAAAACTAGATTGAACTGTTATCAGCAGACGCTGAGAATTACCCCACACCTATGAACTGAAATGGAATATAATTGCAGACTCTTAAAGTAAATCTTCAGCATTTGAAGCAAATGACTTGGTCTCTTTTGTCTTGAAAACTTTCTAATTTCAGTAAAATAACTGTATGTCTGCCTTTCCTCGTATTCTATTTCAAAACATAATTAAGATAAATATCAGTCAAAATGAGCTCATACCTGCAGCTAAGCCTGGCAAATTTGACTCCTTCATCTGTTCCCTTTGACCCAGCACAAATGACTTATGATTAGCAGTGTACATGTATTGAATTGCTCATGTTGAGGAAATGTCAAATGGATTTGGTTTTAAAGAAAACATTATGCCTTCTTGAGGCTAATTCACTGACATACCCAAAGGAAATATTGTATTTATCAGGCCACTTTTGCATATATAAATGTCAACATAACTCCATTTACAACATCCAAAACCAGTAATTATTCAAATGAGCATTCTTCCTATATCTTGGCATCTTTATTTTTTTAAAAAAAAATATTTAAACTATGTGGCTTCCCTAAAACTGAAGGAATCATAATATCAACAACGATACCTGTTTTATTCAAATTTCAAGGAATTTGGTGTGCTATTCAGTTCAGAAATTCTTGTCTCGGTGTGAGATATAGTTGCTCTGAGAATATAATGAAATATTCAGCCAACATCATATATGCAATAGTTAAAATAATATCATACGAAATCATTGGTGTGTGTGAGAGAGTTAGAAAGACCCATAGAGAGACAGAAAGAGAAAGACAGAATCTGAGACAGAGAAGCAAAGGAAATGGGATTCCAATTGTGAAATTTCTCTCTTCTGTTTTTCTTTTAATTGTCCTCACTTTTTCCCAAAGCAGTGTAAATCTTGAAAGAATGGGCTTAACAATAGAGCCACAATGTTGAACTTCAGTCATAAATTAAAAAAAACCTACAGGAGGTCAAACCAAGAAAATCTTGGAATAGGCAAGTCTGTCGGGATTAATTATTTTTGCTTTCTTATTTTGCCTTCATAAAGTCCATTTTCAATTCATAAAAATATAGTATATGTATTTTATAGAAAATTCTTACAAAGTCTCCCATAACTAATATGTGAAAATGCTGATTAAACTGCATATAAAGACTATGCCACTCTCTATGCCAGGTTCTCTATCACCCAGACAGCCTTATCCAACTGAGACACCCCGAGGTGATTCAGCATTGAGTGCTTCATCCAGGATGAACCATCATAATCCTCATTTTCTTTTCTCAGCCTGAATTGTAGGAACAAAGCCAAGAAAGAAAATGCATGCAGCTTTATGGTATCTGAGGAATACAAGGATACAATGAGCAGTCAGGAGAAAACAAGGCTTTCTGATTGTAATCCCAATACACAGATTGTGGAAGATGAAAATACAATTTACAATTAAGAACTCACAATAGCAAAGACAGCATAGATGGGTGTAGGCATTTAAAAAAGGATTAGAGTCATGGTGGCCCAGTGGTTAGAATGCAGTATTGCAGGCTAACTCTGCTGATAGTTCGATTCTCACTGGCTCAAAGTTGACTCAACCTTCCATCCTTCTGAGGTTGGTAAAATGAGGATCCAGATTGTTGGGGGCAATATGCTGACTTTGTAAACCGCTTAGAGAGGGCTGTAAAAGCACTGTAAAGCAGTCTGTATGTGCTATTGCTATTGCTATTAGGCTTCAAACTGAAAAGGTGAACAAAAGAATAATGGGAAGGCAGGCCTAACCAAGAAAAAAAAATCTTTGTAGGAAAGCAAGCATTTTGCCTTGAACACAAAAAAAAACCCTTAAATCAAACTCTAATACCATTCTTTCTCTAGATATTTGCTGCACTCAAATATTTGTATGGATTTGAGCATACTAGACTTCACTCTGCAATCTATGGCAGGGATAGGAACATTAGATTGGCTCCTTTCTTTGTCCTGAACTAGCTCATGCTCTTCAGAGAAATTCAAAAATGCAAAAACTTCCATTAAATTCCTCTCTGGCTATTTAATCTAAAGGGGAAAAAAGCTGTGATTGCCAGCTAGTGCTCACTGATTTACCTTTCAAAAAGTTGAGGTAATGAGTACACTCAACTAATGGGGATTTCTAGAAGTTTGCAATTTTAGAGGTGCTCATTAAATACCACCTGATCCTTTTCTTGGCTCTCAAACCAAAAACATCAGTTATTTCTTGATTTATTGCTCATCCGGAAACAAAAAAAAGTTATCTCTGTAACTCACAGGTAAGTAGGGTCAGTTTAAATGTTTCATCTTTTTCCCTGATTGCCTTTCACTTCCCCAACACGATAAGGCAGACATGATTTTTTTTTCCCCTTAAAAATGTCCGTGCGGTACTGCAAATGAGAGAAATATGCTTCATTAGAAGTGCCCTAATTTCCGTAATCTATATAGCATAGGATCAGTGGCTTCCATAAGAAACCACATTTAAAAAAAAAAAAACAGTCAGGAGGATGGCACAATTATGTAATTATGTCATGACCTCTTGTATAGCTACTGTAGGTATGTTGCATCACTTGCATATCATCACCTACCTTATCAAAACAAACGCGAAACAAACAAATGAAATTCAGTCAGAGAAAGTCATTTAATAAGCTACGCTGTGAGGGGGATGGATGTAAACAAATGGCGACCCATTGCAGACCCATTGCAGACCCATTGTTAACCCCTGGACATCAAAGGCCTTTGAACATTCTTCTAACACTCACAAAGAGTCATCATTACTGAACTTAAAATGCAGACAGGTTGATAATGGTGGAATTGTCATTAACAATGGCTGCCATCAATTAATTTAAAACCAACATTTTAATAAAGTAACTAAACCAATAGCCAGCCTAGCTGATGGATGTGTATGGCCCATCCATACTTGTTTGTTTGTTTGTTTGTTTGTTTGTTTGTTTGTTGAATTTATATGCCACCCTCTCTCTTAGAGTCGACTCTAGGCAGATTATAATTTACAATAATCTTGTTTCCATTCTACAGATACAGAACGGAGCCTAGCTTTCTTCAAGAGGCCAAATGAACTCAGCTGTGTAGATCTTCCAAAGAAAAACAGTTAACCTGCTATGCACCAGACCATACTCGGTTATTAAATTACATAGGTTTTGTATCTTAAGGGATCTTTACATCTCCACTGTGGTGTTTATGTTTTTCACAAAACATTAAAGCAATGTTTCAAAAGGTCACTGTACAGATAGAAAAGGATGGATAAGATGAGAAGCAATAAGGGAAAGCAATAAAGCTGCCTGTGTTCCGGAGACTTTTTCAAATGTATTCATCACATGCTATATTGCAGCAAATCTTGTTAAGGATTTGATGCCATTGCTGTTGGGAGAGGAAGAATCTCACACTCCCCAGTGACGATTTCTGGCAGGGCTGGATAATAAGAAGTTTGACAGTGAATTGAAACCATAAATGAGTTATTGGTTACCTAGAGATGAAAGGAAGGATAGTTCATCATTTAGTCTTTCTGTTATCAAGGAGATGGCAGCAGTTGTGCAAAGGCAAGGCCATCATCTTCAAATATGAGATGCTTTGAACCTTCCCAGTGCTATTTCTGTAGCAGAATTTATACATTAATAAGCTAATCACCCTTCCACACACCTTTGCCTTGTACCACTGGCTGCCATCCATCACCAAGTAGCATCTTCACGTCTTAGCTTCCAGAGGGAGGGGAATTCCAGAAGTGGAGGGGGAGCAAGGCAGGAGATTTTTCCAATGGAAGGCTTCTTTATTCTGTCGTTTTAGGGAAAATATTGAAAATCTAATTTGTAATGTTTCCTCTGAACTAACCTGGGCCTCTTAACTTCTAGAGTTAAGAAGCTCAGCTTTCATTGAATTTTTAAAAATTGAATGGTTTCAAAATACATGCAATAAGATACTTTTTGAGATCAGAATCATTTTTGCACATAGAAAGTTCTAAATTACTGCTTGGGTATTTCTTCTCATCCATTTTCAACTGCCTCATATTGCTGTTCTTCTCATACATGATTCCAGATTTACGGTCAGTGGGGTCCACATTTTAATATGTACGTTCTGGGCAAGAGGAATTTGCTAAAAAGTTACCCTTCATGGTGATAGTATAATGACAGCAGTTAATCAAACTCTTTGGAGAAAATGGAAAGAAAATAGAATGCTTCAAATGTACAACTTGATTTAACGACTGTTGAGATAAATATGAATGAAGTAATGAAAATATGCCTTCCTGTGTCACTCCAAGTGCATTACGGAATGGAGATTTTGCCCTCCATTCTTTCAATAATTAGAAAAGTAGTTAAGAAATATTTTAGCCACATATTTTAAATGCTAATATTTTTGCATTTAGGATTTTACAATATTTTTGCTTTAAACTTATGTTTTAGTATGTGTATCTCTGTGTCTATGTGTGTGTGTGTGTGTGTGTATGTTAGGTGCCAGAAGTATTCAGTTGAGTGGAAAGCAGGATGAATGAATAAATGAATGACAGTGAAATTAATGTGCATCTTTAGTCTTGGTGTGGAGTCACTGGCCTGCAATTCACACATTTATTTAAAAGGCAACCCACTTTATGTGGGTGTAATTCATCTCAATTATACCATACTATAGAAAGAATATTCATGTTAGAGCCAATTCACTGTTCCAACGTTGTCTAATAAGAAGGAAAATTGCAGAATTGGTTTTTTCTATATGTGTGATTTCTGTCACCTGAATATCTTTCCTTTATTCCTAGAAAATTGGGGTGAATGGCAGTTCATTGATAATGATGGAGAGAAATACCATATCATGGTCTTTGCTGAGGTGGAAGAACAAGGAGAACAGGTTTGCAAGGGGAAATGTGCAATAACACCACTCATGAATATCAGTTGCTTTTTAAGAGACAAATTGCTTTGACAGACATTGGCAGACTCTGGATGGAGACTGAGAACTAATGTATCAGGGGTGGGCTCTACTTACCTTTACTACCAGTTTGCAACGGGATCGCGCATGCGCAGATCACCAATAACGATATCCAGGGTGGTGGGCCGGGCCTCCCACTGGTTTTACTACCGGTTCTTGCGAACTGGTCCGAACCGGGGCAACCCACCACTGCAATGTATGTCAGTCTCCATCCAGATTCAGCCAATGTCCAAGGTTTTAATAAATTGTTTTGATCATTACCATTTGTTTTTGTGTGCCCCAAGTTCACTAACCCCATGAGTTTTTGACTATTTTCTTTGCCGTGATAATTTTTCTACCATTCTGCTGAAACAAGTTTATCTTCTCTAATCCTTGGGCTTCTGCTTTATCTTGTCCATGTATTTGCTTTGCCTTTTGCATCTTTAGGAAGCCTTCTTTTGGAGACAGATTGACATAGATTGCTTGTCATCTTGCAAATGGAGGTTCTTTCATCATTAATCTGTGACGCATTGCTCCATCCTTAAACATACTGTTTCCTACACATCGCACAGATGAGACCACAGTTCACTGGGAACATGATCTGAAAGTAGTTCTAATAACTGGTAGTTCAGATTATGTATTAAATAATAACAGCCATTCCAAGCTATCTGGCAAATCCATTAGAAATAGTTTCTACTGTGTGGGATGCTAATACATATGTGGCACTTGTTTAAACCTTCTAAATTGATTGTTTATAATCATAGGAAATCTTAGCTGCCACTTACAGCCTGCCTTTTATTCTTAACTCCATATTTCATTGATTGTGCCAATAAAATGAGAAAATCTGTTTGCAATGGGTTTAGATGATATGTTGCCTATCTATCCTATGTTAGATTTTAGGTAATTGATTTTTTGATCTGTCTGTGGCTCATCAAAAGAGGCATTATTGTTATGTTATTCCCATCCTATTAGGTGCTTTTTATTAGATGACTATCACATGGAGGGGTATAGGAGATAGTTGAATAAGACATTTACTACTTGGCTTTTCCAGAATGCTGAATGTATAGAAGCAAGACAGAAGAGGAGCTTTCAGTTTGTAGAAAAGAAATGGTACTGCCTATTCCACTAGTGTGCCCCAGGCTTTAGATATCTCTTTGGCAGTTCTTTTTAGCATTTATATGAAGATGTTGGGTGAATTCATTCAGTGGCATGTAATATCATCAGTATGCAGATGATACTCCATTATACATCTCTATCCCAGGAGGGGCAGGTGATGCCATTCAGGAGTTTGCCCTGAGCATAGAAGCTGTCTGGATGGGAGAAACCAGCTGTGATTCAACCCTAGCAAGATGAAGTGGCTTTGAATTGTTGACCCCCCCCCCCCCCCAAGTGACTTATCATCTTTGATGTGTTAGCATACCACCACACAGGTGCCATGTGCAATTGGGGGGGAGGGGTCTTCTTGGACTCAACTCCTGTTGAAATAGCAGGTGGCAACTATAACTAAGGGGATCTTTGCATAATTTCACCTTCTATTAATTGCACCCATTCCTGGACCGGTAGGCCTTGCTCCCTCACGCTTTAATCTTCAATATGTTGTATACAGGGCTGCCCTTGAAGATCATCCAGAAGTTACTATTGATCCAGAATGCAGTGCAGCATGGATATTTGTGTTAAACCACTGCTTTACAGTTTCTCTACAGGTACAATTTGGAATGTTTTAAAGCTCTGAATGGCTCCAGGTCCTTTTAGATGAACCTCCTCTTAAGATCCAGAGGGTTTCTACCAGAGGTAGGTTTCAGCAGGTTCTGACCAGTTCTGGAGAACTGGTAGCAGAAATTTTGAGTAGTTTGGAGAACCGGTAGTAAAAATTCTGACTGGCCCCGCCCCCATCTATTCTCTGCCTCACAATTCCCAGCTGATCGGGAGGAAATGGGGATTTTGCAGTAACCTTCCCCTGCCACACCACCAAGCCATGCCCACCAAGCCACACCCACAGAACTGGTAGTAAAAAAATTTGAAACCCACCACTGGTTCCTACCGCTAAACTTTCCAGAAGACTGTGAAGACCTGGTTTTTCTTCCAGTCCCTGGATTAGGAAGGGAGTGAGCTACCTGGAATTATTACGTATAAAATTAGTAGCCATATAAGTCTTCTAAATAAATAAATAAATGCTTGTTGGGGTTGCCATGGAATTTTAATTACATTTAATTCACAAATTCTTTTTTTATAGCAATATTAACATCTAGGTAAACTCCAATCCCAATAACATCATGGACATATCTATGTAGCAGTGGTGGGTTTCTACCAGTTTGCCCCAGTTCGGGCGAACCGGTAGTGGCGGCAGTGGGAGGCTCCGTCCACCTGCCCGGACATCATCATGGACGCTCTGCACATGTGCAGAAGGTTCTGCCCATGTGCAGAAGGGCTGCATGTGTGCTCACAGTTCCAAACCGGTAGCGAAGGTAAGTGCAACCCACTACTGCTATGTAGTTTTCTTGTCAATAATACCTAAATGATTTGGCACTGCCTTTTTTTTAAAGATTTGGGGTTTTTTATAAATATAATTTAGACTGTTGCCTGTATTTCTTGATTGTTTGCATCCAAATTTTAAACAAGTTCAAAACTGTTTACCCCTTTGAAGTCAGCCAAGATTGACGCAATAACAGTACTCACTGTTTATTCATATAATTCCATCTTTAGGTCACAATTTTCAATGCCACTGCTATGGATGTTGGATGAACCTGCAGCTGAAAAAAAAATGGGGTGGGTTTGGGTTTGTTGGGTTGTTGTGTGAGTCAGTTATTCAGGTTTGTACCTGGCACAAGCCTAGTTTATAGAAGTGGCCAATATTATTTGTCTAGCATTCCTATTAGCTTTCTTTCATGGCTTAGATGGTAGTATAAGTCATCAGTTGAACTGCAGAATGACTGGCCTTATTCTTTATGTCACACCAATTTCTGTGAGTGGAAATCAATCAAATGTTGTGCCTGTTACAATCCACTTCAACCTACGTGTCCTCTATTTTCACTTTATGTTGCAGACAAAATTAAAAGTTTAAATCATAGCTCATTTAATTTGTAGGCAGATGTAAATGACTAGAATAATTAGCTACATTTTAAAAAGAGAGAGATGATTATAGTATCTTGGAAAGAATGTATTCAATTTTTTTTTAGCTGTTCAAAGCTACCATCTGTATTAAAGACATGATAGAAAGTATATTTGTAAAGTAAATAAAATACAACCTCCTTTATTTTACCAGCAGCAGAATCAAAATTATTTTCCAGCTAAAGAAAGCTTTTATTTGTTTTTTTTAAAAAAACTGGAAAAATGTTTTTTAAATCGCTGGAAACAGAATATTTTCATTTCATCATATGACAAGCAGTTTGAAGGATTACTCTTAAGACATTCAGATAAATTTCAGTTTGTGTTTTCAGCTTTGAGCTGGATCAATTGTTTTTAAAATAATAGCTGAACAGCAGAAAGCAATAGTTGTCTTAGTTTGGAAGGAAAGCTGAAAATCCAGATCTCCATATTTGCTTATACATACTGTACTGGATTTTAAAATGCTAGTCCTTTTCTCCAACTGATAGGCATTTGGTGACAGACCTGGCACAGTTTGTATATATGTCTCAAAAAACAACTGGAAATTGAGAGAAAACCTATTTCAGCAAAATTATGGGTCTGCAATCTAATGCTATGACTCTTTCTTTTTTTATGATATTACAAGAAACAAAATGGAAACCAACACACACACACTTGAATTTTTATGCAGAATTGACTGGAAAGAATGGGAGGCAGGCAAAAATGTATATCATATGGTAGAAAATGCAGGTTATCATCCTTACAAAACTTTTACTTGGAGACTTATCCCAAAACTCATGTGAAGTTTTGGATAGATAAAATGACAGGGTTGAAGCTGGCAATGCAAGATCCCCAAAACTCAAACTCAGTTAAGAGAAAGCTGTTTAGCACCCAGGATGAGAGAGAGAGAGAGAGAGAGAGAGAGGGAGGGAGGGAGGGAGGGAGGGAGGGAGGGAGGGAGGGAGGGATGGGGGGAGAGAAAGCACAAAACATCATGGGCTGTCCCCTGATACAACTAGATGAGATCGCTAGGGCTAGTTGCCTTAGAAGAGTGAGGAAAATTCCCAGGGAAGACTCTCACCCTGGTCACCATTTCTTTACCCTCCTACCATCAGGAAGGGGATATAGAAGCCATAGCCAGCCACACAAACAGGCTGAAGAACAGTTTTTATCCGTGGGTTGTCAAACTCCTGAATGAGAAATAACTATGTAGTATGATGGACTTCAGGGCCGGCGCAGTGTGTAACATGTTCACACTGGTGCAATAGGAGTAGGTGTTTTGTTAATATGATTTATTGAGTTAGGGATTTTTTGTCTTCACTGTGAGTTGTATTGTGTTGGGGGGGGGTGCACTGAGGGAGCTCAACCAATCTCATTGTACATATGTTGTGCACTGATAATAAAGATTTGAACTGAGGTTGGGGGAGAGGGAGAGAGAGAAAGAGAGAGAGAGATCATTGTCATCATCAATCAGTCCATTGCAGGATGAAAGCCATTTTTAGCATCCAAGTCTAATGGAGAGAGAGTGATGGACCCAACTTACCCATCCATGCCTATTGTAGGACTAGAACCTGAGTCTCCTGGCTTCTCACCACTATACCAAATTGGCTGTCATAAACATAAACAGACATATATCAGATTTCCTCTGCTGTTATATGCAGAATCTCTTCTAATATTCCTAATATTCACCAATAAAGCTATTTACCTTAATTTTCTTATATATATGCAAAAATTGTCAAGCCGCTACACAAGAAAAGATGCTCTGGGAACCAACAAATCTTACACCATTGCCTATAAAGTTAGCCCTTTTCTGCCTTTCATTCATCTCTACCTTTGCAGGAAGAAATGGGAGTCAAATGTTTTTGTTCAATAGGTCCCAAAAGAAATGCTCAATTCCTCAAACTCCCCAAACACACATAGCAGAAACATCCTTGATTTCAGTGGAAGAGTTAAGACTCTATGGTCCAATCCATACTTATGTGGGAATAAATTCCCCAGATTGCAGTAGAGTGGATTTTATCCTACATATACATGGTATGTATCACATTCATTTTTAGCTGTATTGGCATCTGAAGTAGTTGCCAAAGAATAAATGAAATGAAATCAGATCAATTATTAGGGAGAGTGAGATGGCTCATGAAATGACAGAGTATAGGATGTCTGGAAGGGCCGAAAAAATGCTACTGATTTAATGGCCTCCAGAAGTTGTGTGTGCTCCAACAGTGGAGGTTTTTAAGAAGAGATTGGACAACTATTTGTCTGAAATGATATAGGGTCTCCTGCTTGAGAAGGCTTAGGATTAGAAGACCTCAAAGGTCCCTTCCAAGTGTGCTACACTATTATCTTTCTTACCTTCTCTTTAATGTGTCCATGGAAAGCTTTATAATGAAGCATTGTTGGCTTTTGATGATTCGTGGTCCATTTTCCAAAGGAACCAGGAGAACCACTCAAAAGAAGGAAAGTTAAAATAATGCCACTAGAAAACGATGCTTAATTTGTAATGCTTAAATAAACACGAAGGACACATGTTTAGAATGGCTAGTAGATTTACTATAATGCAGGCAGAAAGAAATGATTGCAAGAAAGACTAAAAGGTGTGGCATTATTCTATTGCCAAATTAAGCAATTCTACTTTTCCATTCTATATCAGGAATCAGTTTTTGTTCCAAAAATCTCTTTGTATTAGCCCAAAGAATCTGTCATACTGTCTGTCCAGCCTTTGGGGTGAGAATTCCCCTGCCGGACATTCATAAAATGATAGCCATCCAAACTGAATACCTAGCATTGGTAAGCATGGATTCCTACTCCTCATTCATCTTTGTCTCTCACTCCCACAGCCCCTAAACCTGCCTGAAGGAGGAGCAAAAAGAAAGTTTCATTGTGTTAACAAAAGTCTAGTTGAACAACATTGGATGTAGCTCAGAGGATATGTGGAAATGTTTCTTAGTTCTAAGTCTGGTATGAACAGACTTGTGAGAGAAGAATAAGTGAAAGAGACTAAACTATTGGGAGGTGAGGAAGGTGGCTGACTATATTCAGAATTTGGTCTTGTTGAAACCTGTGACACGAAGCCAAAACTGCATAAAGACCTCTCATCCTTTCTCAGATATTCATAATAACTAGCAATACTTTTAATGCATTTAGCAGTCCAATAGCATTGCAGTAATATTTGATACTGGGTTGTTATTGGAAACTAACCAAATAGATAGAATTAATCAACATCATTTGGTTGAAATGAATCATTTTATTAGGAATGGTCCAGTACAAGCACCAGTTTTGTTTTGTTTTTGTCTTTTCTTACACATTTACAGCACAACGGTAAATTATCCACAGATTAAAAAACAAAACAAAACAGGGGAGCAGTTCACAAACCATTACATTCTGAGTCTGAATGCCAAAGACAAAATACCAAATTAAGAAGACCAATGTTTGTTAGTCAAGAAAATGAAGTGAGAAAATGAGAAAATGGATGTCTCAGTATTTTTTTAAAAAAACATTGTTTAATATTTGCTAACCGGTTGGGACATTTCTCTGCATCTAACAAACATGCTGAACTCCCCCCAAAAAAGGATTAATCAGGGTTAGAAAACCACTACAAAAGCCCAAAGCTCTAGACTACAATGGAAATCAAATCCCAGAAGATAGCAATGGCAAACCACTTCTCCATTGTTACCAAGAAAGCTAAATTGATACATCTGCGTAGTCACCAGGAATTGAATTTGACTCTTGGGAAATTTTGCCACTTACATACTGTATATAACTTATCCTTTCCTTGACTTAAACAGAAGGACAATGGAGCCCACCAGTCAAATATAGCACCGAATGCTTTCCCCTGATAATAAACCATTTGTAGGCTTTATGGTAAGTATACCTTCCATATTTCTTAGAAGACCTTCTAATAGCACACTAAAAGTACACACAAATAATAGATTCAAGATCAATACATGAGAGAATATGGGCATTGCTTTTCAGGTTTAAAGTGCCTTCTGGAATCATTCTCCCTCAGAGATTAAATCTGTAAATCCACACGAGGAAAGTTGTAGGGCAGTTGTTCAAATATCAGATTAAAATAGCTAATAGCAGCTAAAGTGTGCAGTTTCCTGTACTTCAATGCAAGGTGGGGGTTCTCATATGCCAGGTGTCAGTTTCAAGTCTGTGAGCTGATTTATTGAGCACTGATATTATAACAACGTTTAGGCATGAAAATGCTAATTCCTGGCATCTTCCTTACTGAGAAACTGCAATAGATGAGATTGTACCTATCTCCATTTCCCAGTAGCTTGAAAGCACATTACTTTTTGAGCTGCAAGATAAGATTGATGAGAACTAGCAACTTTTTAGGGCAAAGTTACCAGTTCTCATCCATCTTATTTTTCTTCTTAGAAAGTAATGTAGAATATATGTAAAATTTAGTGCATGAAAGGAGATAATGTGATTCCTGTCAGTGGAAGTCCTTACAAAAAAAAAAATCCTTCCTTCCTTCCTTCCTTTCTTCCTTCCTTCCTTCCTTCCTTCCTTAATTAACATGCTTGCTTATATTACACATTTCTTACATACAATTGTCACTTTTTCTATAGGTTCTGTGTATAAACAGGCAGAACCTATTGATATCTATGTATCTCTTGTAGGTCTTGATCTTACCCTTTCTGTAACCTAGAGGGCTATT